TTTGTGTTTTTCTGATAATTTGCTTTGAATAATTGCAGAAAGAAATAACTTCTTTATTAGTTTCATCAGTTTCAGTGAGAGTCACCGCTCAGAGATGAAGCAGAGACAATCTACCAATCAAACATTTATTTGACTGTTAAGCACTAAATAAAAATGTAATCATCTAAAATCATCGTTGGCTCTAAAAATGTGTGGGAGTCGAGCTTTTTTCTTCAACATACATATTAACATAGACAACTTTTATTGTCATTTTGTATACATAGTGTATGAAAAACTAAATGTAGTTTTGTGCAGCAGACAGTGAATAAACATTTCTATTCTATAAAGTGCAGCAGTGATCAAATGAAGTTCAGAGCATTTCAAGACAAAAACACATTAAAGACATTTCACCCTGACTGGATAATCCCTTTGACATTCAGAAACGTCGCTACAAGCTACAGTAAACCCAACGATTAGAAATGATTCGACTTTTCAAGCGTTTTGTCTTCAGAGTTTACTCCCTCACGCATTCTGCTCCACATCTTCCAGTTCCTTTTGCAGCATGACGCTCTGAGGTTTTGAGGTTTTGGATGTACCTGTAGGAGAGGCTGGGGCCGGGTGCCCTCACTCTGCTTCCTGTCTGTATTCAGAGTACAGCCGCCGTTTGAAGGACAGCCAGAGAGACCGAGAGCGGGAGAGAGAGAGGTCGCTCCACCACAACACCCCTCACCGATTCACAGTGGGACTAAACATGAGGGCCGCCAAGTGTACCGTATGCCTGGATACCGTCCACTTCGGTCGCCAAGCAGCGACCTGTCTTGGTGAGTCACAGAAAACAAACCTCTAAAACCTTCATTCCTCCATAATCACCACATGCATCAATGCAGTTACTTGGTCGTCTTCAATTCAATTCAGTTTATTTCTGTTGCCCAAATTCACAACACGTGCCGCCTGAGGTCATTTATAAACCATTTAACCAGATCTTACAGTCGGATTGGTTAAAAGTTTTCTCTCTAAGGAAAACCAGCTGATTGCATCGACTCATTGACTCTTCAGCAATCCCTCACACTAAGCATGCTTGTAGCGACAGT